CGCCAGGCAGAGGGCAAAGACGAGCAGGAGCCGCAGAACCATGGTCCTCGCCGTGCGTCAGTGCTGGCTGGCAGGGACAGGGCCTGGGCCCGAGGGCGGCGCACGCCAGGCTCACATAGGCCACGAGCAAGCACCAGCAGGAAGGCAGCCATGAAGAAGGCCACGGTGGCACAGGCCAGGCCCGGAGATGCCCAGCCGTGCTCCAGGCAGCGAGCAGTGCCACCCGGGCCGGGGCACAGTGCAGGCGGCTGCCCTGGGCCAACCCGTGCACCAAGCCACAGCCACACGCTGGTGGGCGCTGCCAAGGCCATGGCTGCACAGGTGGACACGTAGTAGGCAGCACCGGCATCTGGGCGGGCGGCCTCGGGGAAGGGCCAGTGGGCTGGGCCCAGGTACGAGGTGCGCCACAGTTGCAGCGTGAGCATGAGGAGCACGTTGGCCAGGCCCAGGCTGAGCAGGTAGAGCTGCAGGGCCTGGCCCAGGAGCCCTCTGCTGTGGACGAACACTGCCAGGGCAGCCACATTGGCAGGCAGCCCCAGGCCCAGCGCCAAGGCTTATGCCGGGCACCATGACAAAGTGAGCAGGGTTACCCCAGGGGTTGCAGCCACCAACACCCAAGTCCCCAACACTGCTGTTCATCTCCGACCTTGAACAGGGGAGAGAAAGAGAGGTCACTGTGGAGTCTAGCCACAAAAGAAGCTCCCTATTCCACCTTCTCCCACCTCAGTCCACTTCTTCAGTCCTTGCTGGGAAAGGACACTAGAGGCAAGAAAGCCCACATGAGCAAGGATGAAGGACAGAGAGGAGGGGAAGGGCTCCAGAGTTCTTGATGACAAGCTGTGGGAGATAAGGAAGAGGCAGGAGTCCCAAATAATTTGGAAATTTCCAACCTTGGTGACTGGGAGTATGGAGGTGCTGCTCATAGATGCAGTACGGTTCTGACATGTGGGGGCACAGCCATGTGCAGTAAGCCCAAGCAGGGCTGAGCCAACAGAGACTTCTGCATAAACCAGGACGGAATATAGAGTCCTTCCCAGAAAAAGCGCCAGTCCCTCTCCCTGTGCCACCCAGTGGAGAGTGGGAGGGGGGACAACAGGACTGTGCATAGTGACCTAGGACTTGCCTTGGTGAAAGTCTACTCCCCAGGAGGTGCCCAAGTCTTACTTGGAGCACCTTTGGCAGGGTTGAAAAGGTTTCACAACTGTCAAGCCTTCCAGCCTGTTTCTTCCCCTCTCACCTTTAGACCTCAAAGAAGTACTGGGTCAGACTCAAAACTATGGACGTCAAAGCAAAAAAAGCACAGGCCCAGGAATTAGGCAGATTCTACATACACACATTTATTTGCCATGTGACCTTGGGCAAATTACTCAGCTTCACCGAGCTGTCTTCCCTGCTGAAAAATGGAGATTAAAATACCTACCTCACAGGGTTGTTGGGAGGATTATGAGAAAACATAAGTAAAACTCTGAGCCCTGTGGCTGACACTGGGGAGATACTTTATAACTATTAGCTCCCTTCCCTTCTAGGCAGCACACAGATAAATGTGTACGCCCACACAGGAACACATGCAGCGCTAGAGACACAGATGCTCCAAGCAAACAAAACAACACAAAACATCTGGGCGTATTCCTACCCTCTCCACAAGGGGGGTAAGTGCACAAGCCAATGCCCTATTACTATTTTTGACCCACCGACACACCCCTAGGGTGTCCCAAAACTCAGTTCCTCCAAAACCAAAATCTGGATTTCTGCCTTTCAGTCTCTCAGGCTCCAGTTCTTTCTGGGACCCTGAGTGAGTATATTTCCTTCTCCCCTGCTCTCAGTTCTGTCCACCACAAAGCCCCCAACAGCCCCAACCCTGAACCTCCCACAGCCACCCCACCAGATTGTTCCTCTTACCTCTTGCTGTTCTGGCTTCTGGAGCTCTCTCTGGGGTCCTGGGGGCCTGGCTTTAAGGAACACAGACAGGGCAGAATCCCCTCCCACCCACACATCCCAGACCCTCCCACTGACCTGATAATCCTAGGACATGACATTAAGAATAGGGCCAACAGCTGGAGGGGCTGGGGCCCACCTGTGGCAGTTGTGAGCTGGGTTTGTGGGGGTGCATCCAGGGCCCTAAGGGAAGGGAATCTCATTGCAGGGCAAGAGGGCCTTCAGCAAAGGGAGATACAGTCCATATAGTATTAGGAAGGCCAGCTGAACGTCATTGTGCTGAGCTAAACTAGATTTCGGATGTGGTTTGGGGAACACATTTCCTGAGGCCTGGCTTCTCCTTGGGCTGCTAAGAAGGCACTGCTGAGGCTCAAGATACTCCTTCTGCTTTCAATCCCAACTGCTCTTCCATACCAGTTGGCCAGCCCACTCCACCCAGCACCCTGCCTTTCCCCCAGCTGCTGGGCCAGCCCAAGGGCCAAGCTTGGGTGGGCCTGGTAATCAGCCGACAGCCCAAACCTTGGTAAACAGGAGCCCTCAATCTAATGCCAGCTGTGAGAGGTTTTACTGAAAACCTCTGGAGACAGAGACAGGCTGGCTGTGGCATCCTGGAAAGCGCGGAGAAATTATGAGACCAGAAACCTAGGGGATTCCAGACTTTTCTCTCATGGGCTTCAAAATTTTCATGCAGCAGGGCAATTCTGGAGCGCAGGGGAGATTTAATCACATTGGACAGGTCTTCCCATCTACTCTCAAGTTGAAGAGAGTAGGGGTGCCATGCCTGCTCATTTTTGGCTTTGGCAGCTAGTGCAGTGGAAAGTGTGGGTTCTGGAATCAATCAGGCCTTAGTTCTAGCCTCAGATCTGACACATAAGCACTTAAGCTTTCCAAATCCATTTTCTCATCTGCAGAACAAGTCAATATTTAATAATAGCTAGTATTTACTGAACACTTACTATGTGCCAGGCCATGAAATATTTATTATTATTGTCCTTATTTTGCAAATACGCTAGTAAGTGGCAGAAACCATTATCTACCCCCTCCTTCCTTGCTGACCAGCGTGGGTAAATCTTAACTAGTCTAAGTCCACTATCGGAATTCCATCCTCCATGCCAGTGACTAGTCAGGGAATGGATATGTAACATAATTCTGGTCAGTGAGAAGTGAAGGAAAATCTAGGATCTTCTAAGAGAGCTCTCCTTTCTCTTCTCACCTTTGGATGTGTAAATGCTCTGCCTGGAGCTGCTGCAGCTATTTTGCAACTCCGAGAGCCACAGCCAATAAATGGGAATTCCATCCTCCATGCCAGTGACTAGTCAAGGAATGGATATGTAACATAATTCTGGTCAGTGAGAAGTGAAGGAAAATCTAGGATCTTCTAAGAGAGCTCTCCTTTCTCTTCTCACCTTTGGATGTATAAATGCTCTGCCTGGAGCTGCTGCAGCTATTTTGCAACTCCGAGAGCCACAGCCAATAAATTGAAAGCAGCAGAGCAGAAAGTTGAAAGAATGTTGGTCCTTGATGTCATCATTAAGCAGCCAAGTTAACCAGCAATGTAACTGAAGTAATGTTATCTTTGGGCCTCTTATGGGAGAGAAAGTTTTCCTTATTGTTTTGACAGTACCATGTATATTTATGTACTATCTATCCTTCTTATAGGTAGATTGTATCACTGTGCTTTCAGACACAAAAAGAAAAGATCCAACCAAGAGTGTCAACCTGCCTGAGGTTCATGCTAATCAGTGACACAGCAGGAATTGTTCTGAAGTGAATATGAAATGGAGTAATATAGACTTCTTTCACTCCTGTGGGCTCCCAAAAGCTACTGTCCTTACCCTCAAAGCTATTTGTAGGCTGGTAGCTAGAATACTTGCATTAATGAATGGACACTTTTTCCTCACCATTTCCCTCATGGGAAGAACATCACTTCCCTAAAGGCTCCCACTGGACTAAGGTGAAGAAGGTTGGTGACATGAAAGTAGCTGTCCTAACATGTTGTCCACTTTCCCTTGAGAACTGTCACACACACACCCTTCGACCCCCAAGGACCTCTGGAATCTTTCCCAGGTTTTGGGCCCTTCTGTATCATTCAGCATTCCACGGAGTTGTCTATCCCCCACCTCCAAATTGGGTGCCACACCTCACCACCAGAGGCTGGTGACTTCAGGTCCTATAAAATGACTCAATGGCCATCTTTGTTAGCTCTGAAAATCTAGTGCAAGTGATAAAAAGGAGCAGGAGAGAATCCGTCATGTGGCTCCAAAGGGCACAGGCAGAAGCAGATACTTAAACTGTGCCATATTCAATATGTAAAATTTAAATATGTATTGAAAACCTTAAAAGTGTGCATGCATTTGAACCAGCACCCTCCCTTCTAGGGAAAGAAAATAAGTGTGCAAAAGTGATTTACTGTGAGTTTTACAACAGTAAAAAAAAAAATTGGGAACAACCCAAACATTCCTCATGGGACTGAGTAAATACATTACAGTACATCCTTCCAATGGAATACTATGCAGCCATTAACATCAATGAGGTTAAATAGACATGGAATGGTTTTACAATATATTAGGTTTAAAAAATAGGTAATAAAGTAGGATATATGGTCTCATTTTCATTTTTAAAAAAATATGTATCTGTAAAAGCATAGAAAAAATTGAGAGGTACAGTTATACCAGGGCACAAAGTGGTATTTAGGTGGCATTAAAATTTGGGGAGATTTTGGGCCGGCCCGGTGGCGCACTGGAGAGTGCGCCGCTTGGGAGCGCGGCGGCGCTCCCACCGAGGGTTCGGATCCCATGTGGAGACTGGTTCCCGCTCAATGGCTGAGCATGGTGCGGGCGCAACACTGAGGGTTGTGATCCCGTTGCCGGTCCCCGGTGCGGGCGTGACACCGAGGGTTGCGATCCCGTTACCGGTCAGTAAAAAAAGACAAAAAAGGAAAAAAAAAATGGGGGGAGATTTAAAATTTTTCTGCTTATTTTCTATTTTCATATGACATGATGAATGTTAGCATGTATAACACATAGCTCTTAAAAAAGAGCAGTAAAGTAAAAGAGAGAAATCAGTACCAGGTAGACAAGGTGTCTCTTTCAATACTGGATGACCCTGGACATATTGGTAACATGGTGGTAGACTGTGTTCTACCATGTTCCTGCTGTGACAGCTGTATGGCATGGACAGGCAGAGACTCTCTACTTCCAGGATTCCTTGAATGCACTTGGAGTCTTCTTCCTACTGCGTCTGACCACCTTCTTCGTTTGGGATAAAAGTTGGCCGACATCCAGCAGCAGCAGGAGCCCCAGGCAGACAATGGCCGGGATGCAGGTGCTCAGTGACTCTTTCAGAGACATCAAAGTTAAGATAGCCCCTGGAATGGAAAGTGAGGTCCCTGAGGCTCCCTGGGAGAACCCAGGAGATCCTGGCACTCAGTGCTCTCCAGCCTAGGCTGACCCATTCTAGCCCAAGCCATCCCATTAAACCCCCCCCCAAACACACATATACCCCAAACCAGCTGCACTCATTTCTCTGGCCTCCCAGAGAAAGCATGACCAGGAATTAGAAGCCTCTTGAGCTAATGTAGCCCCTCTTAGAGAGCAAAAGAGAAGCAGAAACAATCCAGACAAATAGGGCAGAGACTAAGGTGGGTAGATGGAGATTTTGGAGCAAATTCTCCCTGATCCTTCTTTCTTAATCCTACATCTACTGGAAGGAAGGAGGCCCAGGGGTTGGTGATGGAGGTGTGGGAAAGATGTGAAAATGAGGGAAGCTCTAGAGATGGAAAGAAAGCCTTTGGGCAGGGTGGTAGTGGTGGCAGCAGTGTAACACAGGCCAGGGGATATAGAAGAGCATGAAGATGTCCAGCCTTTGAGGCAGTAACTGTCCTTGCACATCAGTAGTTCTTGCAGGCAGAGCCGCTAGGAGGGAGCTCCTATAGGGAGATCCTCTGCCTTTCTGTTGAAAGGGCCCCAGCTTCCCTGCTGTCCACTCCCATCTTCCAGACATATAAGTCAATTGGCAACTGCTGCTCCATCCCTTCACCCAAGAAGTGGGTGTGTGGAGGAACAAGCAGGGGCTCTGAGGTTATGATACATTCTCACAATGGAATACTATGCAGCCATTAGAACTGATGAGGTAGAAGGTATACGCATATATGACATAGGATAATGTTATAGCATATTAAGTTTAAAAAGCACCTGTCCTAATCTAAAAACTATGCAAACTATAGGAGAGCAGGAAATGCTCCTGGGTCCCAGAGAAAAAGGAAGGGCGGCAACAGTAAAGGGGGATGGCCAGGTCTTTCCATCATCCTGCCCCAGAAGATCCCACTTCCCCAGGCCAGTTGGCCCCCTTACCCATCATGAGCAGGGTCAAGAGCAAGTTACTGATGTCCTGCAGCATCCGTGGGCCCACGACCAGCAGCAACCCGGCCAGCAGTTCCAGCCAGCCCACAGCTGTTTGGTAGCTCATGGGGTCTGGCTGGTAGCCGAACACCTTCAAAGGACATACCTCAGCAAACTGCACAAACAGGGCTTTCTAGGGGTAGCAGGGAATGCCTGTCAGCCACACTCAGCAAGGACACACTGCCCAGACACTCCACCAGGGAATTCTATGCCTGTACCCTCAACTCCCCAGACAGACAAAGGAACTACTACTTTAGGTCAGCTCCAGGCCTGAGGTCAGCCTGGAGAGGAGAGAGCCGCCCTGTGGGGCCGAGCTTTGGAATCAGGAAAATAACTTGCTCTATGTTCCAAGAAGGGCTGGGTGGTGGCACAGAGACTGACTGATTTTCTCACCAGATCTCTCAACAGATTACACCCCACCCCAAACGCCAGGAGGAAGAGGGTGGTGGGCTTGGGCCTTCCCATCTAGTGCCAAGGCCTGGGGAACTTTCTTTCTTTGTGCCTGGCCTGGTTTCTCTTCAGGCTGCTATGCAGCGAATATCTGGGCAGAGGGTGGAAGGGCTCATTAGAGTCCGCCTTGAATCTCCTATGCTGGGTCCTGGATCCCACTGAGGCAGATGGGGATGGGGTGTGTCGAGAGGGTTCACAGTGACTGATCTTACTGAGTCAGACCCTCCCCTGAGCAAATGACAACTTCACCCTTACTCTCTGGGCTTACCTGTTCCTGCTCCCCCAACTCAGCTCTACCTCCCCTACTCAGCGCTACAAGAAAGAAGCTCCAAGCTGACAGGCTCTGGGGAAATACTTCCCCAAACAAACCACCACATAAGCCACGGGGAGAGAGAGGCCCGCAGGGGTCTCCAAGCCTGGCTTCCTTGAGCGGCTGGGGGGATTGGGGGACAGAACATGAAAGCCTTCCCATCAGTCTGGAACACTACAAGAGCTGACAGGCGACTTCTAGGCTTCCCCTCGGGCTTCTTGGAAAGGACTCTGTGGGTCGAGTCAGGACAGTGTCTACTCTAGTTTGGGCCCTGCTTCCTGACTAGCTGTGTAAACCTTTATCAGATACACTTCACTTTCGGGGCGGGTTCCCTACCCTGAAAAGCGGGACTTCGAAACTCCTGCCTCGAGGGCCTCCCGAGAACTGAAGCAAACTGACAAAGGGCGGGGGGCGGGCGGAGAGAGTTTCGGGGCGGGTTCCCTACCCTGAAAAGCGGGACTTCGAAACTCCAGCCTCGAGGGCCTCCCGAGAACTGAAGCAAACTGACAAAGGGCGGGGGGCGGGCGGAGAGAGGGGTTCGGTCACTTTTCCACCTATCTTCCTCCCCGGGGCCCCCGGCCGTTCAAAAGTCGCCTGGGGCCACCAGTGCTCGGCCGGAAGGCGCTGCTCCGTCCCCTTCCGTCCAGCGGAGATCCAGAGAACTTGAGGAACTCCGCGGGGCCCGGGACGTGGGCGGGCGGCGCCGGGAGCCGGCGGCACGGCCCACCGCCCGCCCACGCCGCGCCGCTCACCATCTGCTCCGACACCGGAGCCGAGATATGCCCCGAGAGCTTGGCCGCCCCCGCGAGCGCGAAGAAGCCGCCCAGCAGGACGCGCAGGGCGCCCAGCAGGAGCGCCATGGCCCGAGGGTGGGCCCCGCCGAGAACCCGCCCCCGCCGCGGGCGTGTCCCCTCCCTCCCGGGGCGCCGGAAGGCCCGCCCCGGCGCCGCCCCGCCCCGCGCTTCCCTGGGGACCGCCACCGTGTTTGGGCCTCGCACCGGCTGCGTTTGGATGGGGACCCTGAGGCACACTGGCTCTTGACTGAGCCAGCCCCAAGCAATGCGGAGTGAGGCAAACACGGGTGGGTATCTGGAGGTGGCTCGTGTTCTGCCTGGGTCACCCTAGCTGTGGGATCTGCGCTGTCGCCCAATCCCAGTGGGCCTCAGTGTCTGCATCTGTAAATGGGGATAACGCCCTACCACTTCTCCGGGGTTTGTAACAGGCAAACAAAAAGAGCTCAGAAAATTATTTGTAAATTAGTAATTTATACAGTTATTAGTAATAAATCAACATCCAGTAATTATAAAATAAGTCGTTCTTTTCTGTCTTTGCTTGAAATATCTTTACCCTCTAATTTCCCTCAGCAGAAATTAAAATGTGAAAGGTGTTTGAAAATTCAGATGCTTACTTGCAGCCATGGAAAGAGAGGTTTTCATTGAACAACGCCCTACAGGCGCTCCTGGCCCATCTGCTCTTACCTGGAAATCTGTCTAGAGCTAGGATGGGCAAACTATGGGCCAAATTCAGCCAGCTGTCTGTTTTTTTTTGTTTCTTTTCTTTTTTTTCTTTTTTTTTTTTTTCACTCTTCTCCCTCCCTCCAAGCCAATTATGTTTTTTTACATTTTTTAATGATAAAAAAATTAAGGGCCGAGCCCGTGGCGCACTCGGGAGAGTGTGGCGCTAGGAGCGCAGCAGCGCTCCGGCCGTGGGTTCAGATCCTATATAGGGGTGACCGGTGCGCTCACAGCGCTCACTGGCTGAGCTCGGTGCGGCCGGTCTCAAAAAGGACCAAAAAAAAAAAAGTTAAGAAGCTTGTGTGACACATGAAAACTATATGAAATTCATATTTCAGTGCTTATAAATAAGAAGTTTTATTGAAACACAGTCTCTCTCTTTTGTTTGTGTATTATCTTTGTGACTGCTTTTGTGCTGCAACCAGAGTTGAGTAGATATGACAGCATGGACTGCAAAGCCTAAAATATTTACTATCTGGCCCTTTATGAAGTTTGCCAAGCCCTGGTCTAGTGGGCCAGAGGGGCCCCAAACAGGGGTCTCAAACTCCTCTGATGCTTCCATTTTCTGTTAGCCGAGTTACTTAGATCTCTGTTTTCCACCTACCCACAACCTGCTGGAGTAGGTGGCTGGCTGGCTGGTTGAAGACTTAAATGTCCCATGTGCTTCTAAAGGCCAGGCTGCTTCAATATCCAAGTTGTTTACATTATAAACTAGGCCTTTCATTACCTGCAATCTTTGTCACTAATCCAAATTTATCAATTGATAAAACAGCTAAATTCTCTACCTCGGATTACTAGAATTATACATAATTATGTATAAATGCATGATTATTAAATTCCTCAACAAAAAGAGAAAAATTATTAAAACACTTATTTAATCACTAAAAACACAAATCCACATTAGGAAATTATAGTTTAGGATACTTATACAAAATCTGACACAAAATTATAGACTTTGATGATAAACAATATGCAGGTTGCTATTCTTTCTCCTTTACTAATTTTTCTATCCGTGGAATTAAAGATGTGACTGCAAGTCTTAGGGCAGGGCCAGAAACCAACAGATTTTTTTGTTTTGACTCGGTCAAAGCTGAAAAGGTAGCATCACATAAGTAAATACTTGAAAAAGGTAATAAAAATTTCATTGCTTTTTCATGGAGTTCTGGGTAACTTGTCTTTGCATTTATCCAAAACTGAGTTACAGACACTGATTTAAATACTGACTGTAATCCCAAATCTGAAGATAACTGTATTAATTTTTCTTCTTCGAAGTCGGTGAGATTATTATTTTGGTGATTCATAAAAGGATTAATTATCCACAAATTTCCTGAACGCAAGTCTTCTTCTGGTGGATAACAGTCATCAAACATTTGAGAAAGTCCTTCCAGGTGCTCAAAAATAATGCTTGTGATGCTTCTCATATTTAAGTCTGATGAATTTGAGAATTCAGAAAATGAAGGGAACACATCATAATCATTCTCTTGTGTGCGCTTCAACCACATTTTTAACTTTTTCTTAAATACATCAACTTTATTATATAAAGTGAAGAAAGTAGTCATAGTTCCTTGAAGACTTAAATTTAATTCATTTATAAGTGAAAATATATCTGATAAATAGGCCAGCTTTGCAACCCATTCCTCATCATGAAAATACTTGGCCAAATCTGAATCCTTTTGATTTAAAAAGATTTCAATTTCATGTCGCAATTCAAATAATCTTGTTAAAGTTCTCCCTCTTGATATCCAACGTACTTCAGCATGAAGTGGTAAATTCACATGCTCAGACCCCATCTCTTCACACAAAATTGTTAACATACGTGAATTCAATGCATTACTCTTTATAAAACTTAAAATTTGTGCTGATTGCAAAAGAATTTTATGTAGGCATGGAGACAAGTTTTCTGCTGCTAAATGTTCACGGTGAATAAAACAATGTGTAAATGCCACTGTATTCATGGCAACTTCTTGAATTTTTGCCCTCAAACCAGAACACCTGCCAGTCATACTTGCAGCCCCATCTGTACAGAGACCAACACAATGTTTCCAATTCAGAGATTTACTATCAATATATTTATTTATTAGTTCAAATATTTCCAAACCAGTAATTTGAGAAGGCATTTCAATGCAAAATAATAATTCTTCTTTTATATCACTACAATCATAATCAATGAAACGAATATAGCACAAAAGAAGGGTGACATTTGAGATTTCTGATGACTCATCTATCTGCAGGGCAAACCACTTTGACTCTCTGACCTTTTGAATCAGTTGATCTTCAATGTCTGCAGATAGTTCATCAATCCTGTGTCCAATTGTATTATTAGAAAGGGGAATGGTTTTCATTTTGTCTCCAGCACTTGAACCCAAAACTTCTGAACACATTTCTACTAAATATGGTTTAATTAATTCTTCAGCAATGGAGAATGGCTTTTTGCTGGCAGCAATTTGGAAAGCAATTAAATAAGAAGCTTTCACAAGTGACTTTTCAACTAGTAAACACTTTTTTAAAGAACTGTTTTGACAATCCATTTCAAGAGATTTTTGTTCAAAAAAATCTACTGGTTTGTTTTCTAATTCTGAATGTTTTGTCTTCAAATGATAAGAAAGATTTGCTGGCTTCATGTTTTCACTGGATAAGATCTCTCCACAAATGACACACTGTGGCCTTGGTAAACTTTCTTTTGATCCAGGACAGATAATAAAACCAACTTTTAAATATTCTATATCGTAAGTCTGAAAAAAACCCATTCTTTTTTTTTTTGCAGGTGGAGAATCAAGTTCTGCATCATTTTTCTCATTAAGCATAGGTGAATCTGAATGAAATATTTGAATCACTGTTATTTTCAAGAATAAGCAATGTTTTTTATGTTTTTCCCCACACATTTAAAATTTATATTTTGTTACTACGTATATTTATCAAAAGAATACACCAACTAAAATTCAAACACAAACCATAATACCTCCATTTAAAACTGAATTTCTCCTTTCACAAAGCTTGGTCACTAACTGTAATATAACTGTAGGTTGTAGTACATGTACAAGTAATCCCAAGTATCAAACAGATTATTGGAATTGGGGCTGAAGTCCACAAAGCACATCAAATTAAGAATAAATTATTTTACTTTCAAAGAGTTCAGGGAAAAAAGAGAAAACAAAGGTTGCAAAAAGTTAACATCTGGTGAAACTAGACAAAGGGTTCATTGATACTGGTGTTCACTGTATTGAATTTTCAATCCTTCTGATTTTGAAATTTCTCAAAATTAAAGTTGGGGAAATTCAGATATGAGTATAATGGGTAATTGTTAATTTTAATACCCAGTATCGGTGAGAGTGTAGAGAAATGGATCTCTCAAACACTGTTGTTGGTTGGAGCATAAATTGATATAACTTTTCAGAGGGTAATGTACCAACAGGTATCAAAAGCCTTAAAAATCTGTGATAGCCTTTGAATCAGTAATTCCACTGCTTAAGATTTATCCTAAGGACATAATTAGACAAGTGGACAAGGACCCATTAACACAGCTTAACATCAACATTGCTTATAATATTAAAAATCTAAATGTCCAATCTTAGGTGGTTGGTTATGTTACACACATTGGAATCTATGTCTGTTAAAAATCTCAATGTATGTTTAAATTTCTACTGATGTGGAATGATGTTTCCAATGAAATGTGAAATAACAAAGTACTTTACAACAATATATTAGAAGACAATCCAATATTTATCTAGAAATTCAAAAAAATGTATAAGCACACACATACCCACACAGATACCCATAGATGTCCACAGATCCTTTACTACCCTCTACATGTGAATGTGTACACAATACAGATTTAAGTACATGAAGAGTGTATCATTTTAACAATATAAAATAATCAAATTTCCTGAGGGAAGGAAAACAAGATTCTCCTTGACTTCTACCAAAAGAAAGGCACCCTAAATAAAACTCTTGATTACTTATTGATAGACTAGGTAAGATTATTTTTAAAATAAAAAATAAAAAAATGTTTTGAGCAAAGTAATTGAAAACACAAGGGTAGTGAAATTAAAAGTAGTTAACATGTATTGGGGCAATACTTTACAACTTTTTCAAGTATAAGTCCAAACAATTTTCCTGATTGCCAACGCCTCAGACATATTAGTTGTACTTTTAGTAACTGACAATTGAATTCACAGTGTGGAAAAAAAAACAACTAAGGTTCAATCAGTAATGCTTTTTTTTTTTTTTACCTTTTTGTCTTTTTTCGTGACCGGTAACAGGATCGCAACCCTCGGTGTCGCGCCCGTACCGCGACCGGCAACGGGATCGCAACCCTCGGTGTCACGCCCACACTGCTCACACCCGCACCGCGCTCAACCAGTGAGCGGACCGGTCTCTATATGGGATCCGAACCCTCAGTAAACAAAATTAATATATTTACCTTGAAATTTAAAAGTTTTGTAAACAAAGGCTTTATAAAACAAACTTAAAGGATAAACAGAGTGGGAGAACATATTTAAAGCATGTTTATTCATTCAGTAAGTATTTACTGAATGTTTACTTCAAGCTAGGCGCACTTTTAAAAACCCTGGAAATACAGCAGAAAACAAGACAAAATCTGCATTTATGGGCCTTACATTCTAGAGGGAGACACAGAAAATAAACAAGTAAAACAAACATTAATGTATATTTCCACGTAGTCATACGTGCTATGAAGAAAAATAAAGCAGGATAAGAAAATGGAGAGTAATGGTATGGGGGAAGGGTAATTTTGGAGTAAACATCTGAGCAGAGCTCTTCTGAATTATTCATAAGAGTAAGCTATGCAAAGATCTAAGGTCGGAGGAGTTCAGGCAGAGGGAATATAGGTGCAAAAACCCTGAAGTGGGAAAAAGCTTGGCATGCTTTAGGAATATCAATAAGGACAAGGCTGAAACAGAGTAAGCAGGGGGAGAATAATAAGTTTGGAGAGATAGGTAGAAGCCAAACTGTGTAGGATATGGAAAGTCTTAGTAAAAAAACGACAACAAGGGCCGGCCCCCTGGCTCACTTGGGAGAGTGCGGCGCTGGGAGCGCAGAGGCCACGGGTTCGCATCCTATATAGGGATGGCCGGTGGCCCGTGTGCTCACTGGCTGAGCATGGTGCAGACCACACTGTGCTGAGGGTTGCGATCCCTTCCCCGGTCAGAAAAAAAAAAAAAGACAACAAAATCCAGACTGTATTTTAAAGGTGACGGGAAGCCACTGGAGGTTATATTTAAATTTACTTTTAAAATAAGTAATAGATGCACTCAGTACAAAATTCAAAAGGTATAAAAGTGTATACATGAATGACTGCCACCTATCCCGACTCAACATTAACACAATCACTGTTCCCAGTTTCTTATGTATCATTCTAGAGATGGTCTATGTAATTAAATAAGTTGCTTCTGACTACAAGTGGTAGCATGTTATTAGCAAGATTCAGCACCCTGCTCTTGTCACTTAGCAAGTTTTCTTGGAGATATATTTATATAACTTGGTATAAAGCTTCCTATTAACAGCTTGCATAGCATTTATTCCCTTATTGAATGTACCACAACTAATCTGAAAAGTCCCTGCTGATGAACATTTAGGATGTTATAAATATTTTGCTATTATAGGGCCACGCCCGTGGCGCACTTGGGAGAGTGCGGCACTGGGAGCGCAGCAGTGCTCCCGCCGCGGGTTCGGATCCTATATAGGGATGACCGGTGCGCTCACAGCACTCACTGGCTGAGCGTGTTGCGGCCGGTCTCAAAAAGGACAAATAAATAAATAAATAAATAAATATTTTGCTATTATAAAGAATGCTACAATGAATATCCTTATACAGAAATTAGTTCTACATGTGCTAGTATATCTAAAGAATACAGTCTTAGAAGTGTTGGTGGGTCACAAGGTATACGAGATTAATTCTCATGGTACTGCCAAATTGCTCCACAGAAATTACATCAAATTATGTGACCATTAGCAAAATATGTGAGCCTGTTTTCCAATATCCTAGAGTATTATCAAACTTTTTGCTATTTATCAATAAGTGAAAAATTATCTTACTGTAGTGTGGTTAGGTATTTTTCATTTGTAAGCATTATTTATATTTCCTCTTCTGTGAACTGTCTATTCATATCCTTTCTCCTGTTTTGCTTTACCTTAAAAAAAAATTATGCATATTTTCTGAATGGGTAATATGACATAAAATTCAAATAGTAAACAATGACAAAAATAATTTTCCCTGTTAAGATTCTCCCCCAATCATTCAGTTCTCCTCAGAGACAACCACTATTACCCATTTATTGGTTGCCTTCGTGGATATTCTATACATATGTACAAGTGTGCGTGCATGTGTGTGTGTGAGCACGAATGGCAGTATGCTATACACAATTTTGTGTCTTTTTTTTTACTTATATCAGACTACTATCCCTACACATTGAGCTGCCACATTCTTTTTAATGACCGCATAGTATTCCATTGTATGAATATACCATACTTAATTTATCTACAGCCCCAACATGCCACTGTGTATGCTTGTGCAGGGGACTCCACTAGCTATACCATATAAATAGCTGTGGTTTGGGACAAGGGTGCATATCAGACTCTGGCCATGTAAGACTATTTTTCCCTAATTCACAGAATAACTCAAAGTGAATGCACCTTGGCCCTAACCACTAGTGTAACAATTAAGTTGTTTTCAAGCTTCTGCTACTACAAACAATGCTGCAATAAATATCTTTGTAGTATATAAGTCATTTCATAAATGTGCAAAATGTATCTGAAGGATAAATTCCTAAAAATGGAGTTCTTGGGCAAACGGTATTTACATTTGAAATTTTAACAGGTTCTCCTAAATTGCCCTCTGTAGCAGATTTACCAACTTACACACTTCTACTGGCAATAAGAATGCCTTAATGTTATCCATTATTTTATCCTTGCCAATCTGATTAAATTGTAGTTCTAACCAGCATTTCTCTAATTTTGAAGTTGAGTATCTTTGTATATATTTAAGAACTATTTTTATGTCCAGGTCTGTAACAATGGGGCTGGTAAGAAGTAGAGAACACTGGAGAGGAAGTCTGGAGGGAATAAAGGGGTTCTGTTGTAGACTTATAACTTCAGATGGCTAATAACCATCTAAGTGTAAATGTCAAGTAGGTAGTTGGATACACGAATCTGGAGCTCAAAGGTCAAGGCAAGAAAAATAAATCTGGGAATCAGCCACCATCTAGGTGGCTTTAAAACCACAGGACTGGGACCGGCCCGTGGCTCACTTGGGAGAGTGTGGTGCGGATAACACCAAGATCACAGGTTCGAATCCCTACAGAGGGATGGCCAGTTAGCTCACTTGGGAGAGCATGGGGCTGACAACACCAAGTCAAGGGTTAAGATCCCCTTACTGGTCATCTTTAAAAAAAACAAAACAAAACACAGGACTGTATAAGTCCCCTAGGAAGTAATGTAGACTGAGAAAAGGGGCAAGTAGGATGTCCTGGAAGTTGAATGAAGAAGGTATACAAGAAGGAAGGGGAGATCAGCTGTGTCAAATGTTACTGAATGGTTGAGTAGATTGAAAACTGACCACTGGATTTGGCAAAATAAAGACTAATGGCAACCTTGACACGAGCAGTTTCAGTGGAGTGATGTAGACAAAGCCTCACCAGAGGAGCTAGGGAAAGAAAACAGATAAGGAAGTGAAGGCAGCAAATAGAGGCCATCCTTAGAGGAGTTTTTCTATGAGGAGAGCAGAGATATAAGACAGTTGCTGGAGGGCCATGGTGTTTAAAGAAGGATTGTTTTCAGATAAGACATACAACTGCAGATTTTTGTGGGGATGAAAATGACAAGTAGACAAGGGAGAAATCCAGAACATATAGACCTCCTTGAACTCAATGAAAAAAGACAATTCAACGCAAAACCGGTGAAAAATAAAAAGCAGGAAATTCAAAGAAAATTCAAATAAACAAAAACACAGAAATATAAGCAAACCTACTAGTAGTCACTGTCATACAAAATAACACAACAATAAGACGTCACTAAACAGACTGGCAAAAATGTTTAACTGTGACAACATTAAATGTTGGTGAGGCTGTGGGAAATGTGCACAATCATAAACTGTTGGTAGGAGTAAGAAATGGAACAGTCATTCTGCAGGGCAATTTTAAAACTAAAAATGCAAATACTTTTTGACCCAACAATTTTTCCCTTCCATTTCTACACTAGCGAAACACCTGAACATGTGCATAAGGAGACATATACAAGGATATTCATTGTAGCAGAAATATTTAATAATGAAAAACTAGAAACAACCTAACATTCGTCAATAGGGCAATGGATAAAAAAATGTGGTATGTGCAGACAATACAATACTATACAGTAGTCAATAGAAATGTACCAACCTATTAAGTATCAATATAGATATTTGTCAAAACAATATTAAATATTTTCCATGGATCTGTATATACAAAAGATTACAAAATGTCTGAAAGGACACAGACCAAACTCATAATAGTAGTTGTTTCTGGAGATGTGAAAAGGGAACTAGTAGTCATAATTAACTTTTTAAAAAAGGAAAAGGAAAGACAAAAAAGGTAGAGGGAAAATAACTGACAGTAAATAAGCCAAATCTAACAATGGTTAATTCTGAGTGGTAGCAATACAGCAGAGCAGGATTTGGTAAACTATAGTCTGTGGGCCAAGTCCAGTCCATCACCTGTTTCTGTGAATAAAGTTTTATTGGAACACAGGCACACTCACTCTTTTATGTTTGTTTATGGCTGCTTCTGCACCACAGTGGCAGAGGTGGCAGAGTCTCTAGTTGCAACAGAGACCATATGGCCTACAAAGTCTAAAATATTTACTATCTAGACCTTTATAGAAAAAGTTTGCTGATTTTTTTTTTTTTTTTTTTT